TAACTACTAACGCGTAGATGATTACTCTAAGGAAACCGGAAGTTGTTGGCGTGGCTGAAATCGCCCACTAGGACATTATTTTCAGGACCATCGGCTTTACTAGCTTACTTTAAAATAGAAAGGAGGTTTACGATTGGATTGTATGTTTTTTGTACGTTACGCGATATCTACGTCAATTTTGAATAAATTTTCAGGTTTTGTTTGCAGCTCTGAGGTTGGAAAAATAAGAGATGAATTTTTTAATGGATATATTAAGATGATATTAATATTGATATTCCTTCGTCTATACAAAGGGTAAAATTACTGTTAAAATAAAAAAAGTAAAATCCAACTTAAAAAAACTATAAACAATAAAATATTTTCCACATATTAGCTTCCAAATTTGGAGCTCTAGTTCTTCTATGCACTATGTCTTAGCACCGACTTCTGAAGCAGTTATGTGGCAATTATTTAATTATTTTTAACAGTCTTCAAAAAAGGAGGAGGTATTCAATTCAATTGTATTTTTTATGTGTGTTACCTCAGAACTTTTTTCAAGGTGAACCGATTTTGATGGTTCTTCTTTTATTTGAAAGCTGGTGCTTCTCATATATTCTCATATAAATTTGATTAAGATCTGAAGATACCTGAGTTATCATTAATAATGCGTATTTAATTGACTTCGACTACATTGAAAATGTTCACATTTTATTTATATTGAAGTCGCTTTTACAAAATGTTTTATATTACCACTCGTAATTCTTTGAAGTCCGCTTCGCGTATATTTATTTATTTATTTATTTATTTATTCTTTTTTACATCTACCTTATAATAAGGGATATAAAGGGCGGACTTAATGCCTTGTGGCATTCTCTATCAGTCAACCCTGTATACATTTTGTTAAAAGTTAATTTCATTCATCTAAAACCTATTCAAATTCAAATTCAAACTCAAATATCCTTTATTTCTGATAATATAATACATTTAGAGAATTATTATAATTGAAACATTTTATAAATTACATGCTAAATTATATTTTAAAATAACAATTCAATTTAATCTTCGACATTGGTAACATTATTATCAGCTTGCCCTTTGTCATAGGCCTCCCCTAGGATTTTCCATATTTCCTTATTTGCAGCTTTTCTTTGCCATGTTTTCTGCAGTCTTTGAACATGTTCAGGTTCGACACCGTCTTTATATTTTAGATTTAATAGACTATAAATCCTCGCAGAAGAACACCGGTTCCTACTATGGATTATGCGCGAGGCTATTGAAATATAAAAAAAAACATCCTAATTTCAACAGTGAAGATGGATGGGAGCTACCATCTGCTTGGTAACCTAAAATTATGAAATTAAATCTAAACACAAGCATAAAACTGAAGGTAGCCGGGCTAACTCTAACATCGGGACGTCAAACACCTCAGTACCCCCCGTCTCCATGGGTGCTGTAAAGCACCCGAAACGTCGGGAATTAAAAAGTTAAATTAAGCGCGATAGAATCAGTAAAATTAGTTTCATTTAATGAAATTGAATTTGGGGAAATTGTAATTGGTCGACTTTAGTAATTGACTTTAAAATAACTTTCCGATGAGCTACACTTGAAATTTTGGACGTAGCTCAGAATCGGATGACAATGTAAAAAAATTAAAAAAAAAACCAAAAAAATTATTATCATTATCATTACAGCCTTTCATAAGTCCACTGCTGAACATAGGCCTCCCCCAAGGAATACCACAAAGCACGTTCCTGAGCCACCTGCATCCATCGACTTCCTGCATGTCTTACCGGGTCGTCACTCCATCTCGTGGGGGGTCGCCCTACACTTCGCCAACCGTTACGAGGCTGCCACTCTAGAACCTTTCTTCCCCATCGGTTGTCAGTTCTTCGAGCTATATGGCCGGCCCACTGCCACTTCAGCTTACTAATCCGTTGAGCTATGTCGGTTACTCTGGTTCTACTGCGGATATCCTCATTTCTAAATTTATCACGCAGAGAAACCCCGAGCATAGCCCTCTCCATAGCTCGCTGAGCGACCTTGAGCTTCCTCATACGGCCAGCAGTGAAGGACCACGTCTCAGATCCGTACGTCATCACTGGTAACACGCACTGGTTGTACAATTTCGTTTTAAGGTTTTGAGGTATGTCTGACAAGAAGATGTGTCGTAGTTTCCCGAACGCTGCCCAGCCGAGTTGAATCCGTCGATTGACCTCTCGGTCGAAGTTGGACTTACCTAGTCGGACTATTTGTCCCAGGTAAACATACTCGTCAAAAACATACAACTTCGAGCTTAGTGCTCCCAACAACTACCGGCATAGGTGTAACATGGACTTTAAACATGATCTTGGTTTTGTCCATGTTCATCTTAAGACCTATCCGTTGGGAGACACTATAGAGGTCATTGAACATGGTGCTTAGGTCCTCCAGCGATTCTGCCATAAGGACTATATCGTCGGCAAATCGAAGATGAGTGATATACTCGCCATTGATGTTGATACCGTATCCTTTCCAGTCCAGAAGCTTGAAAACGTCTTCCAATGCAGCGGTGAAAAGTTTCGGGGATATGACGTCACCCTGTCTTACACCTCTCTGCAATTGGATAGGTTTCGTACTCTGGTTCTGTACTCGGATAGCCATCGTAGTCCTACTGTACAAGCACTTCAGCACTTCGATATACCGACAGTCAACTTGGCACCGCTGAGGGACTTCAGCACCGCCCAAATTTCGACGGAATCAAAGGCTTTCTCATAGTCTCATAATTGTTATTTTGTATTGAAATTGATTTAATTATTGCTAAAATTTAGGAGACTGATTTTAAATTTATTGATTTTACTGGATATGGGTGTAATTTGCCTGAATAAAGATGATGATTATTATTATTATTATTATAGTCCACATACGCCAGAAATAGTGGCAAATTGTACTCCTCGGACTTCTGTACAAATTGTCGAAGGGTATGTATGTAGTCTATGGTGCTAAATCCATTTCGGAAACCAGCTTGTTTGGGAGGCTGGAAGTCGTCAAGTCTGCGCGCGAGACGATTCGTAATGACTCTCGAAAACAGCACGTAGACGCGGTTCAGAAGGGAAATCGGTCTGTAGTTCTTCAAGAGAGCGTTGTCACCTCTCTTGAAGAACAAGACCACCGCACTTCTGCTCCACGTCTCCGGTGTAATGCCACCATGGAGGACGGAATTAAAGAGCTTCTGAAGGACTTCAAGCACCGGTCTTCCACCCGCTTTCAGAAACTCCGCTGTGATTCCATCTTCGCCTGGGGCCTTGCCGTTTTTAAGGTGCTGAAGAGCCATTCATATCTCGGTCAGACTGACGTGCGGGATATCTTCGGAATAGTGTCGGATAAGACTCGCTCTTGGATCGTTACTCTCACTTGCGTGTGGCTCCAACGATGACGTGTACAAATGCCCATAGAACCTCTCAATCTCACTCAAAATCTCAGGTGCCCCGGAAACGATCCTGCCACACTCGGTCTTCAGCTTTGACAGTTGGCTCTTTCTGGCAGACAGATCTCTGGCAAAGACTTTGGAGCCTTGGTTCCGCTCGATCGCTTCAAGTCCCGCCGCATGCATTTGGAGAGCCGTCTGTTCAATTGCCTGTATGCTGTCAAATCTTTTGAAGAATATAGCTTCATCTCCCGTCTAACAGCCATGAGATTAAGAGTGTGATCGGAGAGTTTTTGTGTTCTTCTGCGGCGGGTCTTGCAGAACTTAGTTCCGACCACATGGACAGTTTCCACGAGCTTGTCATTCATATTGTCCACTTCATTGCAGTCTTCTAGACACTTAAAACGGTTTTGTAACTCGAGCTGAAAGGTTTCGGGACTTTAGAACAGAGCACGAGGGGGACGGAGCGTTGACTTCATTAGACGAGACCTCTCCAACTTAACGTTTAGGTTCAGTGTGCCTCTAACCATTCGGTGGTCGCTACCAGTGTTCACCCTCTTTCACCTCACTCTCACCCGAGACATTACTGAACAGTTGTCGTCTGGTCGTCATAATGAATTCAATCTCATTTTTTGTCGAACCGTCTTGACTCGACCAGGTCCACTTCCTGTGGGGCCGCTTCTGGAAGAAAGAGTTCATCATAAAGAGTCCCTCTTTCTCCATGAAGTCGGCCAGCTACTGGCCCTTGGGTTCCGTTGTCCTATTCCAAATTTCCCTACTTTCAGCTTACCGTTCTCTCTTGTGCCTAGTTTTGCATTGAAGTCTCCCATTAACATCGTATATTGGGTTTTGGAGGAATGCATGGCTCTAGAAATATCTTCATACATTTCCTCCACCTCCTCATCGGGGTGTGCCGAGGTTGGTCCGTAAACCTGTATGACCTTCAGCGAATACCGTTTGGTGATTCTAAGTATAAGGTACGCAACCCTCGTCGACACACTCTCAATTTTTACAACGTTGTTAACGAGAGACTTGTGGACGATAAATCCGATACCTCCTTGGGACAGATGGTCGTCCTCCCGGTGATAGAGCAAGTTGCCGGATTCGAGGATTACCGTGTCCTCCCCCTCTCTTCGGACTTCGGATAATCCTATAATATGCCAGCGTAACTTGTCTTTCTCTTCTTCCAGCTCCACAATCTTCTCGTTAGTCCTCAGGGTGCGTACGTTGTATGTTGCCAGGTCGAGTCGTCTTAGGTGGCAGCCGAACCTCCACCGGAGATTCTTAGCACCCCTGCCCCACCGTTACCATGGTCGCCAACGTAGCCAGGAATAGCGGGGCCGCCGGGGACTTGGGGCCGTCTCTTTGTTACATTCATAGGGGGGTATTTTCCATAGTTGCCACGCTTGGCGTGCGGGTTGGCAACCGCAGGTTTTTTTGTATTTTTGCTGTTATCAGGAAGAGGCTGCTGCCTATGTCCTGCCTATTTCCCTTTGTCGCCTTTTACGACACCCACGGGAAGATATTTGGTAGTGGATATTCTTAACCGCCACTACACGGCAAAAATAATTTTTGAAAATCAAGTTTTTTTACATTAACTTCTTTCAAAATTTTCCAGGTGAAGAAATCTCCTCCCGATACGACAAGCAGCGGCTTCATCATCAGCGGCAACGATGCCGTGGCGAGGGTGGCGCACTTGGAGCACAGCGTTCGGTTCCTACAAGAGCAGCACCGCTTGATGCTGAGCGGCCTCCATGCCGAAATCGAGGCTCTCCGAGAGAGAAATAGAGGTGAGTTAGATAAGTAAACAACCGTATGGCGGCAGTGTAACAGAATTATTTACCTCCATTTCATCTCATGCGTGTCCTAAGAGGTGAAGAGATATGGAACACAAAGCCCACCTGCAAGGAAAAGTAATGAAAACTTCGAAGAGTACTGGAACAAAATCGTGTCTGAAGTCGAGTCTTTGCTGAACAAAGTATCGAATCCCCAAAACCCCTGCAACTTCACAAGAAGCAGGTGCGGCCTCACATTTAATACTGTTCCCATCTCTGGGCTGGGGCTCCTTTGTGCGAGCCCCTTCCACTTGACCGCATTCAGCGCAGAGCGGCTCGAATCACTGACGACTAAGTCTTCTCCGATCGGTTCGATTCACTGGCGCTGCGAAGAGGTGTTGCATCTCTTTGCATTTTCTTTCGCATCTACCACTAGGAGTGCTCTGAGGAATTGTTCGGATTGACCCAGTCGCCAAATTTCACGAACGCACATCGTCACGAAACTCGCGATACCATCCACACAATCCGGATGCTTGGTGGTCCACCAATGTACGTTTTAATATTTTTTTTTATAGGAGAGGAGGCAAACGAGTATGCGGATCACCTGATGGTAAGTGACTACCGCCGCCCATGAACAACTGCAACACCAGGGGAAACTGGTGATCCAATTGCATAATTTCTCGGGAAGCCCATAGGAAAGCAGCTTCGACAGAAGCGCTTTGTGCCAAACGCGATCGAAAGCCTTCGCCATGTCCAAACTAACGGCCAACGCCTCTCCCTTGGACTCCAATGCCTCCGCCCATTTATGAGTTAGGTAACCTAGAAGATCACCAGCTGAGCGACCTCGACGGAAACCGTACTGGCGGTCACTAATCAGCTGGTGATCCTCAAGGAACGGCATGATCTGGCTGTTAATAATGATTTCCATTACTTTGGAGAACAACGAGATGATAGCGATAGGCCTGTAGTTGGACGGATCTGAGCGATCGCCTTTTGTAGCGATCGGGTGCACTAAAGTTGTCTTCCACGAGTTCGGGACTACGCCTAGGGAGTAGGAGTAACAGGAGTTTTCTTCGTCGTACGACCTCTCTGTGGAATAAATAATTTACCACCGGCGATTTTTCCCGACCGATACGACTTAGGGACCTTCAAGAAAAGAGCTTGATCCTTTCTAAAAGGTCGGCAACACACCTGCAATTCCTCTGGTATTGCAGTGGTTTATGGGCGGCGGTAGTTACTTACCATCAGGTGAGCCGTATGCCTGTTAGCCCCTTCTCCACTAGATCAACGAGACAGTGAACCAGTACAATAACACGCTGTGAGGCATTCCATCTTAGTCCCAGAGGTGACAATGCACCTGTAGCCTTCTTTTTTTGAAGTTGGTTGCAGGTGTCCAAGTCCTTGTGCTGCAGTAGCCACTCACCATCAGGTGGTCTTTCATTTCTGTTTTTACTTATATTTTATATTTAAAAGAGGGTGTCCGATATGTCGCCCTGTTTTATTTACTTACAACTTTTTGAAACACAGTCGCACACAGAATGTTGTCTTATAAACTTGTATGCATTACTAGCATCGATCACTAATAAAAAACTAGATACACGACCCCATGCAAAATTTCTCTAATATATATAATGTAAATTCAACCTTAAACGCATTGCCTAAAGTTGTATTTACAACGCTACGTACAAATTAAAAGCGCACCCAAATGTTCGTAAGTACATTTTGTCACTTATTGTGTATGTAAGGACATTTTTTGTCACGTATTGTGTATCTAGTTTTTTTATTAGTGATCGATGATTACTAGTATCTATAAAGCAAGCACCGTGTAGGCGGTGTGTATATCCGCTACACCATACCGTGTTGTGTGGGTTTTAAGAGACGACAGAGGGAACCTAAAACAGGATGTGGGCACAGCATCTTCCTGATAACAACTCAAAATTATAAAAAAACTGCCGTTACCAACCCGCTTCCCAAGCGTGGCAACTATGGCAAAATCCTTCCTGAGGTAATCTATGCGGGAGGCCTATGTTGACTTTTACAGGCTGTAATGGATGGAATGGATAGATCGATGAAAAAAGCAAGAATGGCTACAAAGGACTGTGTGTTGATCGAAAGACTTATTTTCCCTATAAACTTTTCAAAACAACTGGTAATACATGAACACTAGCTTCTACTCATTTGCAGTCACGGGTGAACCCTGATTTCCTTTCCCTTCTTACTTCTCTATTATGGAAAAAAGGTATAAAGTTTTCACCAATAACAGGATATTCACTATCCCGTTTCTTCATATCCTTTTCATCATTCATTGGTCGTGTTCCGATATATACACTGTGAGCACAGCTCAGTGCTCTCACTGGTGAAAAATTCTTTTCGTTATGGACTACCAGTATACTGCCGCAGTACCCTAGGGAAATATATGACGTCATAAACCGCCGCCATTTTTCTACTGTGAGCACTATCGCTTTCGAGGTAAGGTGCTCTCAGTACTTTGATCACGTGAAGAAAAAACATAACAGCGCCTAGAGATTTAACAGCTTCCAAGAATGATTGTTATTATTATTAATTTTGTTATTCAAATAAACTCTGACATTAAGTTTTAAAAGCAACAACATTCAAATAATATTTGTTTTTGATTAAATTGTCATTAACAGTATGAGTTCTTCCGGGTTGATGGTACAAATGGGCGTGCCTCAAGGCTCAATTCTCGGCCCCTTTCTGTTTCTTGTATACATTAATGACTTACCTTACATAGTAGGAGATAACCATGATATAGTATTATTTGCAGATGACACTTCTTTAATTTTCAAATTAAGTCGACAATTGCTAAAATATGACGAAGTAAATAATGCTATATCTAAATTAGTAAATTGTGTCCAACAATTAAATACTAATGTAATTTTAAATGGGGAGAAACTGAGTCTTGTAGATACCACCATTTTTCTTGGAATCACACTAGACGCGAAGCTTCAATGGAGCCCCCATATATCAAAACTAGCAAGCAGACTTAGTTCTGCAGCATATGCCGTAAAAAAGATTAGAAGTCTAACTAGTGTTGAAACAGCTAGACTAGTTTATTTTAGCTATTTCCATAGCATAATGTCGTATGGTATTTTGCTATGGGGACACGTAGCTGACACTGAAATTATATTTGTTTTACAGAAGAGGGCTATAAGAGAAATTGCTCTTATAGCCCTGATTTAAAGCATAAAGAGTCGCTGCGACAAAAATTTAAGGATATTAATATATTAACTTTGGCCTCTCAATACATTTATGAAAATGTAATGTACGTACACAAAAATAAAAGTAGTTTTACAAAAATAAGTGATATTCATTCTGTAAATACTAGGAACAGACACAAGCTAGTAGTACCAGTTACTCGACTCCATCGAGTCAGTAATTCATTCTTGGGGCGATGTATACGCTTTTACAACAAAATTCCAGAAAATATACAAAATTTGACCTGCTCAAAGTTCAAAAACTTTATTTAACTAAGTTTGTATAAAAAGCGTTATTATAATATTAAATAATTTACAGATGATAATAATCCCTGGAAATGAGGTGATCGCTACCAAGTTATTTCTAATTTATTGTGTTGTTAATCTGTGTAACATACATGATTGTAAGCTGTTATTTAAAAAAAAAGTCCCGCTGGGTTTCTTGCTGGTTCTTCCCAGGACAGAGGTTTTTTTTTTGAACCAGTGGTAATCATACAAAAGAGTAACTTTTAATAAGTATTGTTTATAATCTATATTGAATAAAAAAGTTTCTGTTTCTGTTTCAAAGTTGTGGTGGTCTTAAATTTCGGAGCAGAATAATCGGAATGCCAATTTTTAAACAAATTTCATGAGAAGGAAGTCCGGGCATATTTAAAGAATTTAAAAATTCTATCGGGTAATTAGTGGCTTCTTGTTCATCGACCATTCTATTTATTGAACTATAAACTTTGCTTTCCCCCTGTATATTCGACAGTATTTTGTTATTAATCTCAGATGCCTGGTCATTGCGAGTAGTTAAAATGGATCTTTCACATCGCCAAAAATTGTCCCTATTTAATATAATTGTTACGTCACCGTAAACCGACGATATGAGATGTGGTTGGGATTGCACTATACAACATATCTCAGGCGTCAGAATAAGTTTTACTTGGTGTAGTTGTGGATAGGTACCTTCCCCAATCTTTAATAATTTATCAGAAAATTGACGATTATCCGGGTTATCTTCAGTTCTCACTCGCATGTTTATAGTCAAATGTACCGATTGTATATCACGCCACAAATAAGAGCTTTTTAGGCAAGCTCTAATCTCATCAGCTCGGGTTCCCCGTAGTATTACCGGTAAGGTTTGTCGGAAATCACCACAAAATAAAACCGTGATACCGCCCATTGGTCGATCATTTTGTCTTATATCCCTTAAAGTTCTGTCTACCGCTTCTACTCCTTTTCGGAGGGCCATCGTACATTCATCCCATATGATTAAATTACACTCACGTAATACCTTAGCTTTGTCGCTATATCTTGAAATACTACAGGTTGGACTTTCCGTGCAATCTAAATCAATTGGTATTTTAAACATAGTGTGAGCAGTTTTACCTCCTGGTAGCAATGTTGCAGCTATACCTGATGAAGCCACGGCAAGAGCAATTTTACGCTGATTTCGAACATAAGCTAATAATTAATTTAGTCAAAAAGGTTTTCCCAGTTCCTCCAGGTGCATCTAAAAACCATATTGTTCCCAAATTATTCTGAACACTCTCGCACACGCGGTCATAGACTGAACGTTGTTCTGCAGTCATCATTGGGACACCGTTTTCTAATGTTGCCAGCAGTTCCATTGAGTTGTAACCAATCTCTGCAGAATATTCCCTATTGGTAACCTCTTCGACTGAGGTTGGTGTTGGCAAACCATATTCACAGAGTGATTTACCGCCTACTGCTGTTAAGTCATCCTGAAGAGCTAATAAGCACAGATTTATGGTAAGATCACGGAAACTATCATTAGTTGCGCCTTCATCATAGTGAGATATATTCCGAAGAAAGTGTTCTGCAAATTTTTCTTTATATTTTTCCCATAATTGTACAGAATCTGACAAATTACAAAATGTGAGTAATGTTACAAATAAATGGCGTAACCGTCGTGAATTATCACTAACACAGGATTTTCTGCTAAAGCGTCATCCCCAATGCTGATCATTTTCAAGCAAACAACGCGTTTGGCAGCTGTGAGCCGCAATTCTCGTTGTAAAGCAGTTTCAGCTTCTTGGGATAACACATGTTGTTCTCGGTCAATGGTAAGCCTTAGCTCTCGTTGAGAAGAACTTTGAGACGCCCGTGATGTAGCTCGTCTCGTTCTGTCAGCTGCTAATCGCATCTATCTTTCTGGAGAGCTTTCATTGGCTCGAGAACTTGAGGAGTGACTCGAGAGTTAGTGAACTCTCATAGAGTTTAACTGATGTGCTCTTTCCTCTGCCGATTCTTGAGAACGCACATTTCTCATTCTCTTAGCTTCTCTCGAATTTCGAGATAAAGATAATCGTTTTTTAGGTGGCATTGTGTATTTTATTTTTAATCATTGGCTCGAGAACTTGAGGCACTAACTCTCATAGAGTTTAACTGACGTGCTCTTTCCTCTGCCGATTCTTGAGAACGCACATTTCTCATTCTCTTAGCTTCTCTCGAATTTCGAGATAAAGATAATCGTTTTTTAGGTGGCATTGTGTATTTTATTTTTAATCGACGGCATTCAGTTACCTAACAAAATAATCTATGTTAGAGGTCCTAACTATAGCTAACATACACTTAAAAAAATTTAAATGCCTACTTAAATAATAAAACGGATCCTAAATAAATCCAAAATTAAATTCTTAAAAATAGATAAGTAGGTACCTAAACTACGTCTAATAGAATGAAATAACCTATTTGATACCTAGGTACCTATTTAAAACTACAGCTAAATAAAAAAAAGTTTAATTTATAATTAAGCTAATACTAAGAAATATTTAAACACTACCAAAATAACTAATACCTATTTTATAAAATAACAACCAAATCTAATAATAAATTATTAAACGTAAGAGTAGACTAAAAGTCGCGCTGATAAGCATGGTTTGTTAAAATCAATTATTGTCTGTCAATAAGGTCGAACACTCTGATGGAGTAATTTCTCCCGTTTCCCCAACATTTACCTTCACTGCTCTGCTCCTATTGATCGTAGCGTTATGAAAAGTATACTATAACCTGCCCAGGAGTATGAAGAATGATTATACAAAGTTTCGTTAAAATCTGTCGAGTAGTTTTTGTTTCTATAACGAACATACAGACAGACAGACAGACAGACAGACATACAAAAATTTTACTGTTTGCATTTTTGACATCAGTATCGATCACTAATCACCCCCTGATAGTTATTTTGGAAATATATTTCATGTACAGAATTGACCTCTCTACAGATTTATTATAAGTATAGATAAAAAACCATTTCGAGTGCCGCAGCCTTACACTAGGAGACAAGTTCTTATGCAATGTCAGAGATTCGGGAACTATAGCTGTACAAATCATAACTACATAAAATGACCTTTAATAAGAATTAATGTAATCTATATTGAATGAAATATATTTTATTCTATTTTATTTAAAATTTTTGTTTTTACACAAATTAATGTTGATTTCAACTGCTATTGGATTTACTCGAGGCTCACGCTTAGGAAGCAGCCGATAATTATAATTACGATAGTTAAGAAGTTAAGGAAACCTACTAAGAACCATATAAACAGACCGCCGTACAATTTAATTTTCCTGTCCTTGCTACCTTTTAGTACGTACACAACACAGGGTCTACTTAAAGGCCAAAGGCGGCCAGATCGGGGCTTCTTAAGCCTTTTAAACTATTTCGATTTCATCTGTCCGTGTATATGTGACTGAACTTCTTTTAAACGGTTCGACCGATTCTATGTGAGTGATTAAGTTTTTTTTTATAGGAGAGAAACGAGAAACAACACAAGGGGAATTACAGATGCGTTGCCGGCCTTTTAAAAAGGAGTAGGTTCTTTTCTTGAAGTTGAGTCGAGTATAGTTTAGATTCACAATTGGACCCGGTAGGTAGCAGCGTTGTCGAGATCCAGAAATCACCCGAGCGAAGCCGGAGCGGATTGCAAGTTACCGATAAAAATGGTCTCTGTTTCACCTCACTCACCATACGAAATATAGTTAACATTATGCAGCTACGAGTACTTAACGATCGAACTGTGAGAATTTTGAAATTTGTCAATTCGGCTGCGATGAAACAGCTGTATTGCTAGCTGTAGATTGTGTTATCTTTGTTTCAGAATTTTAAAACGCTAAAGTCGCGAGCACAGCTTGTTAAAAGAAAAATAAATATGAATGAATTAATAACATTAATTCTAAGTGGCGTTTTGCCAAGAATAATCTCCCGCTGTCTACGAGTCGGGAAACACGAATGAATGAATCATAGAGAAGTTTTTTTTTTAATTCAACCTGATTGTAAGTGGCTACTGTAGTCCATGGACACTTGCAACATCTTCAAATAAACAAGGCCATAGATACGTTATCACTTTTGAGAACTAACGTGGAATGCCTCACAGCCTGTAGTTATACTCTATACTTTTCAGTCCGGATCATAGCATGGCAATTTTTGAAGTTATACTTCTTTTGACGCATTTGGGAAAAATTATGAGAGTGAACTATTACGATGCGCGCGCACACCGACACCTAAAAACGACACCATGAAAGTGTTACGATGAGTGCGCACACTGACACCTGAAAGCGACAACTTCAGTGGGTAATTATCATAAGTTTTTTTTGTTTTATTACGCTAAAGAAGTATAACTTCCTACGTACGTACATAAGTAAACACACACACTTTTTTTAACTAACTTAAAGAAGGGTGCAGTTTTCAATTCGACTTATTTGTGTTTATGTACTGCTTACATACAACGTACTTTTGATATAGCAATTGTGTATTATTAAGTTTAATTTCTTACCCTCTTGGGTGGAAATTATTTACTGCAATTTTAAACGCTGATTTACCTACTATATGTTCGATGAATGAAAAAATCACACACATGTGAAGTCTGCCTATACTTTACACGTATGAGAGATTTATGGAGCAATTAGTGGAAATGAAAGACGTTTACCCGGCTGTGAGACATATAAAGGCACTTTACTATTACATTTATATGTAAAATCCAGATAATCTAGTTTGTGACTTTTTTCCCTAACGATCCTTTAGTGTAGTGGCAGTGTCAGAATATTCACTACTCCATATCGTTTCGTAGGTGTGTAAGAGATGACAGAAAGATCAAACAAGTAGATGGGCAGCAGCGTCTTCCTATTAACAACTAAAACAAAACTGCGATTGACGACCTGCTTGCCAAGCGTCACATCTATTACAAATATTCCTATGCAATCTATGGGGGAGGCCTATGTTCAGCTGTGGACTTTTGAAGGCAGTAACTGTAACAATCCTTTGGTTAATTAATATAATTTGGTATAAAAAAAATTTGGTATATAAATAAGATATAATAATTTGGTGGTAAAACTTTTATTTAAATTAATACAATATTCCATTTTAGTTCCTGGTATAAAACGTCAGTATCAAAATTTAACTTTGTATATCTATATTAAATTTGGCCGTCACGCTCCATGTAAAATTTAAAATTATAACGTATAGGTACTATAAATAGTTTTAGAGAAAATAGCCTGTGACAAATGAACGCATAACGAAATGATTCTATAAGTGTTCGGCTAATTTTGGCACGGAACTTAAAGACACCTGAAGGATTGAGTCTGTTGACTTTTGTTGATTGGAGGCTTATGGAGTTGGAAAAATATTTTGCTTCAGTTGAAGAGCGAAGGTATACAAACAATATACAATTCCCGTTAGCGGTTGCGTGTTGTTGAAGTGCTTGAAATAGGTTGATGATCATCAAAATAGTGCCTGTGTCAAAACAGAGGCAATCTTGTTGCTTTCATGGAAAGAGGTTTCGGTCCGGGTTCAGCTTTTGAATATTTATTTTTGGTCCGATCTACGCAGAACGAGGTTACAGTAGGTTGCAGTGGTATGTTTGGATTTGGATTTTACTTCGTTAATTATAGGACCTCAAGCAGTTGGTAGTTTTGGATCAATTTTGTATTGAAATTTCGATGTTTTTTTTTAATTTCAATAGCCTCGCGAATTGTCCTAGGTGTGAATCTCTTTTCTTTTGCGAGGATTTGTCTGTCAAATCTGATGTAATGGCGGTGACGATTTTAAACATGTTTACAGACTAGACTTCGCGGAACATCGATACTTCACGTCAGCTATAATATGTTGACTCATCAACGCTCTGGGAAGTCTAGAATAAAAACATACTTTCACGATAATAATATTATAGGAGAAAGACGAGTATAATATTAAGTACTACTATAATTTAAACTATCCTCAATTAAAAATCAAAATGCAGATCCGTTTGTCACTTTTTTTTGAGGTTTTAAATATAATGCCTTGTATCCAATTAAAAGGGTCTTCGGTTCTCTACGCTCACCATACGAAACACAGAGCATGCAGCCTTTTTACGCTGAGTTTTCTGTTGGAGCGTGGACCTTCCCCAGTCGAGCCGACCCATTCGTCCATCCATTACAGCCTATAGAAGTTCACTGCTGAACATAGGTCTAACCCATGGATTCCAACCATTCGTGCTACAACCATGATATAATTGCAGCAAGACTTTACCTGTAACAAAATCTTATTTACTTTCAGACTTACAGTTCCAATTGATTTTCAACAAAGACTCAGCACAGAAGACTAGTGCTTCCGCTGGCGAAGAAGCTTCCGAGAACAATGAGGTAATTTAAATGAAATAATTTATATTTTACTTTTCTTTAAATTTTGTGGTTTAAAGTCGTCATTGTAAAAAAATTAGTGTCCGGCCGAAACATGATTTTCAACCGAAACCGAAAACGAACCTTCGGTGTGGGTGTCAGTTTCAGCCGAAACCGTAAACGAAACCGAAACTTATTTACACATGTTATTTTTTTATTGTATACTGAAATCTGGTATATTTTTTATAAATATACAGATAGGTAATGCATGTTAATGAAAAATAGTTATTGTAATAGTCATGTAGCAATATATATTTATTTATTTTGAAGTAAAAATCAACAATTTAACGTTAAGAAATACTTTTTTAAGTCAATTTTGTATAAAAATCAACACTTAAACCCATAAAAAGTTAGTCGCTAATTGAGAACAAATTTTACTGTGTTCACAATATTGTTAATATTATTCAATGAGAGCATTAACTTAATATATCACACTCACACACACACAATATACACACAACTTAACAAAATCCCAGAAAATATACAAAACCTGCTCAAATTCCAAAAATAAAAAAATAAGCTTGTATAAAAAGGGTTATTATAATATTAAGGAATTTATGGATGATAATAACCCCTGGGAATGGGGTGATCACTACCAAGCTATTTCTAATTTGTTTTGTGTTATTAATTGTGAGATACATGATTGTAAGAGTGGCGTAGCTAGGCATGGGCGAAGTGGGCCCTCGCCCACGGCCTCGCACTTAAAGGGCCCTTGCGAGGCCCCCAGACTTTACCACAGATGACTAATTAATTTGATCACTTTTACGCTCTAAAAAGAAAGTCACAAATTTAAATGTGTTTGTTTAGGGCCTCGCAAGAACCCTCTCTTAAATGCGACTGCGAGGCCGTTGTAACTACCTTTTTTATAGGATAGGGTGACAAACGAACACACAGTCCACCTGATGGTAAGTGGTTACTGTGACCCATAGACATCTACATCTATCTTCAATAAAGAGTCAAGATGCAGATGCGTTGTCACCCATGAGGACTAAGATGGAATGCCTCTTTGCCAGTAAAAAGGGTCTCCGGTTCTCTACACTCACCATACGAAACACAGCAGCGTTAAGCTGCTATTTTACGCTGGTTTTCTGTGAGAGCGTGGTCCTTCCCCGGTCGAGCCGACCCATTCGTGCTACAACTATACTACTAATATAGCTGCAGCATGGCTCTACCACGTATATATACCTTCAAAGACCGCGATTATTACATTGACGAAATACGAGATTTGTCAGGAATTAATAGATATGAGTAGGTACGAGGGTGACACTGATAGTTCTTAGAAAATGAAAAACTGAACAAACTAGCAAGTTATTAGTTTTATTATATATTTTCAAAATAGTGTCCATTTACATCAATACATCGCTGCATCCGATGGAACCACTGAGAAAAACACTTTGCCTACTCGTCCTTAGGGGTCTCTTTGACGACATTTTGAAACGCAGCCACTGTTTCCTCGACGTCCATAAAACGTTTTCCTCGAAGTTTTTCTTTTATGTGCTATAGGAAGAGTGACATAGTAATTCCACATCTGACGTCGCCAAGTAGTTGATTATTTGCTTGGCGGTGTGCGTCAAGGCATTGTCATGGTGAAGGAGGATCCTACTGCGAGGTCGTTTCTCCCGAACTTTTTCCAAGACAAGTGGCAAACAATTGTTAGTGTACCACTCTGCAGTAACTGTTTTTCGATCCTCAAAACAATTGTTGCGTAATGATCTGTTCTTCCGAAGAATAAGGCCACCATCTTTTTTCCCATACTTCGACCTCTCTTCACTTTAGTTGGCAACTCCTCCGAAGGAAACACCCAGACAGCAGACTGTCTCTTAGTTTCAGGATCATAACAATAAATCCAGCTTTCGTCACCCCTAAGTATATCGAAAACAGCATTTGAGTCACCTCCGTTAATTCTTTGAACCAGTTCACAACACCACTCAATACGACGGAGTTTTTGGGCCTCTGTCAAATTATGAGGTATCCGCCGGGCACAAAGCTTCCGGACCGCTAAATGTTCATGGAAGATTTTGTGCACTTGACTCATACTGATGCCTCAGCTTGTTCGAATCTGCTGCTAAGTCACTCTTTTGTCAGTCTCTATCATACGCCGCACAACACTCATGTTATCTTCAGCCGTCGCCGTAGCAGGCCGTCCCTCACGCAGATCATCGGTGAGATTAGTGCGACCACGTTTAAACCCATTAAACCAATTGTAAACAGTGGCACGAGACGGGGCTTCATCGTGAAAGGCCAATCGATGTCTATCATAACTTTCTTGTTGACTTAAATGACATAGAAATTCATAAAAAATCATTATACGAAAATTTTCGCCTTAAATTCTTGCTGGAATGACACTGACAATTTTCAATTTGCCGCCAAATCGTAAACAAATGACAAATTTATAATATACGCCTATATTTGGCTTAGAGTTCCATTTTCAAAATTTGAAGTTATTTTTTTATTATATCGTTTACAAGTGGCCAGTTCTAAAAACTTTCAGTGTCGCCCTCGTATGTCGTGTCAAAGCATGTTTTGGTAGGATAGATCAAGTAGATCCTTGGAACGAAAGAAAAGGGGCCTCGCTGATGCAACTTCGGCCACGTTTATATTAGTCGACGCTACGCCTCTGATTGTAAGCTGTTATTTAAAAAAAAGTCCCGCTGGGTTTCTTGCTGGTTCTTCCAAGTTTTTTTTCGAATCAGTGGTAATTAAACAAAAGAGTGACTTTCAATAAGTATTATTTACAATATATATTGAATAAAAAAAGTTTCTGTTTCTGTATGAATGATACATGAATAATACACGAATTACGAACTCATCCGAACGACGCACGGTAATCCACGAACACTGAGTTTCGGCGCCGCCGAAGATTCGGCAGATTTTTGCCGAAACCGAAACTATTGCCGAAAGTAGATTTTTCTGCCGAAACTTGCCGAAACCGAAACCGAACCTTCGGTCGGTCACTAAAAAAAATATTAAATACATGTTTTCTTTAAAAACAAAAAAAAATGCGTGAGTGTCGTGGAACACTCGGTTGGAACGAAGTTTCTTGCGTATTATATTATTATTGATAAACGTAGGTATAATTAATAGAATCAGGCGTTACTTTGCGGAAATCCATTATATAAAAGCTTTTACAAAAATTTACTTCGCAAATATCCGCGTTATAAAATAAAATGATGTGTCTTACCTAGTATGAAGAAGCACCTCCCGCCCTCCCTCAATTGCGTGCACTAACCCCGTCACCACTAATCCCAGCACCGCTACTTCCAACACCACTACACTAGGCAAGACACACCACTGACGATAATACGACACGTGTTTCGCCTCTACACGAGGCATCCTCAGGTGATATAGACTCTACGGTGGCTAACCGCTAAGTGAGCGGCGAGCCAAAACAAGTGCCTTTTATACAAACCGATGATGCAACCGCTCTCTGCCTAACGAGCGAGCGATTGCGTCATGCGATAAAACATGCGACCAATCACCGCTGGACTTACGCAGCCGTTTGTAAAATTAAAAACAAACCGCCGCGCAACGCCCACATTATTAGTGAGCAGGCTTGAAGATATTTAAGAGAGGTGAGTTAGTAACATTTGTTTGTTCATTCAGCAATGCAACGGTATTATTATTACTTTTTAATATCTCTAACTGTTCCAGCACACACAGACGCAGCCCTTTATTACACGTATGTAAGACTTTAAAGGAGTGGTCGTTGGCTAGGTTGTGTCCAGTGTCCAAAAGATGTTTGGCAAAATGGGATTTATCGGGATTGCAATTCCTGTACGCGGCTAAATGCTCTTTATAACGTGTCTCGAAATTGCGACCAGTCTGACCCACGTAAACGGCGTGGCATTCGTCACAAACAAGTTTGTAAACACCTGACTTTTGACGAATATCTAACTTATCTTTACTATTACAGATATTTCTAAGAGAATTGTTTGTTTTGAACGCCACATGAACGCCGTTTTGTCGAAGAGTATTAGCTACTTTTTCAGATATGGGGCCTAAGTAGGTCAAACTGCTCACATATCGATGAACACTTTGAGGTTGAACCGCGTACAGAGAGTTGCGAATAACATGCTTTTGTTTCTTTTTAATTAAATTGTTAATGAGATTTTTTGAAAAACCGTTAGAGACCGCTATTTGATAAATTATATTAAGTTCTTTTAAATAATTTTCTTTACTTAATGGGACAGTGAACAAACGGTTAATGTAACAATAAAAAGCGGCTACTTTATGTTGCCATGGATGACATGATGACGCGGGGATGACCGTGTCGGTGTGAGTTGGCTTTCGATAAATTTGGAAAACATGTGACGATTCTTTTCTTGTTATTGTTAAGTCAAGAAAATTAAGGGAACAATCTTGTTCCAATTCAAGTTTAAATTTAATTTTGTCATGGACTCTATTTATTTTATTGAGGAAAACATCCAGTTGTCTCCTTGTGCCAGTCCAGCAAATAATTATGTCGTCTACATATCGATAGTAATATAAGATATTTTGATTGACAACTATATGTTGTTTTTCGAAATTATCCATGAAAATGTCCGCCATAAGGGGACTTAGAGGGGACCCCATAGCTAACCCTTCTTTTTGTAGATAGAAACGGTTATTAAACCGGAAATAGTTTTGTTTCATACAGAGAGAGGTTAAGTTAAGAAGATCATTTGTTTCCCCGGGATGTAGACGACGTTTTTCAAAGAGATCTGCGAGTATACGCAAACAGTCAGGGGATGGGACATTTGTGAAAAGACTATCAACGTCTAAAGATAACAATATGGATTTAGGAGGAATACGAATATCTTTAATTTTGGAAATGAGATCTAAGCCATTTTTTAGGCTGTAAGTGGGGTTAAATCCAGATTTCTCTCGAAGGAGGAAGTTTAATTTTTTAGCAAGGAAATAAGCTGGTGCACCAATATATGAGACAACTGGACGAATAGGAACATGTTCTTTATGTATTTTTGGTA